ACTGGAACCCAGTCCTACACACTCCACTGGGACAGCGAAAGGGGATCAAAGATTCAAGGCACAGCACTGGTTTCAGACCACATTCAAATGTCTGGGGAAGAGAACAGATATGACTGATGTTAAAAGCCTTAGTTTCACACGGCTGGGTGCTTGCTCTATAAAAGGCAATAGTTCTTGGATTTGATACGCTCTAAGAGCCCACTGTGGCACACTTGAAAACCTTGGGAGCAGAGGAAGCACTCAGAAGGAAGAAGACCGCTGCACTGCTCTGTGCAACATGTACAAATACTGAAGCCGAGTGGAAAAACACGACAGTGAGAGCAGCAGCCACTTCCTGAGCCTCCTGCTCCCAGAGCCAACCATCGGCACCTGGGTTTTAACTCCCCAGGAGGTTGATGGCCAAGACTGGGATCTCACACTGCTTGTCATTCCTTCTCTTAAGTGCCCCCCCATTGTAGATGTTGCTTTTCTAAGCCTTTTAAGCACCAAGAGGGACTTTTAAAAGATTAACTTAATATTGTTCAGCAGTAGAACTGGTGAGAAGCCCTTCAGCAGTTCTTCTTTATTTCATGTTCCTTTGTGCACTTGTTCTCAGAGCACAAGCGGGGCTGGTGGGAGTTTCTCACTCACCGTGTATCTCGCCTTCCAGACGGGAACCTGACAGGGAAGGATATTGAGGTACTTCCGAGGCTGACGGTAATCCCAAAACTTAAAAAAAAACAACAACAACAACAACAAAAAAACAACAAAAAAACAACCAAAAAAACCAGAACAAAAACCCAGAAAGACAAGCAAAGGCAGGAGTCAGCTGGCTATACTTTCAGGCTGCAGTTTTCCATGTGGCTTGCAGATATAACAGAGCGAAAAACATACCAGGGTGCCCACAGCATCATTAGTAATTCCATTCATTAACAGCAGAGATGGCCCCAAAGGACAAATATCAAGCTATCAGCATCTGGCAGCATCCCTTAGACAACAAGTGACTTGGGGTCATATTCACAGTGATCATAGCTCGAGTAATTAGAGCAGGGAGACAGGCAGCCTGCTTGGGCTTTCAGAGCTACAAGGTACCCTGCAGGCTCCCAGCCAATGTCCCAGTCCAGACTGGAGGCAGGCCCACCCTGCTGTTACTGCTAATTTTGTAATGAAGAATCTAACCTTTTGCTTTGCTAGAATACACATCAATTGCATTCGCCTCAGAGCTTAGCTAAATGTGAATGAACTCCATTTGGCTGACATACAAAGCACACTATTCCCCCCCTGCAAGAAAAAGGCCCTGCATAGCAATGCTTGCAGGCAGTCTCTTATTGATAACCCAGTTCGACGTGAGTTTGGGGCTGGAGTATGTCTCCCCCCAGGTTGCTGTAATCAGCCTGAGGCTGGCAACACTGCATTTTGGGGAGAAGGCTTTTCTGGCATGTGTGGCCAGCTCCCTTCTGGCAAGAAACAGGCAGAGGTGGTCATTTTCAGCTTCAGTACTGCCCAAATCACCACAGAGATGTGGCAAACGTATGTGCACCCATCCTGCAACAACTTCTCTGTCTCTTCTGTAAGCACATCCCTGGTTCAACACACACAGGTGGCCAGAAACCGAAAAATAAAGATTGAGATTTTGCCAATGGCAAGCACTCCGCAAGACTTCAGCAGTAGTAGAAGGGGATCTGCTCCACCATCCCGACATTTCCCCAGCAGGAGTCCCAGAAGCAACACTTACCCTGACAGAGTTGTCCTGGCTGGAAGTGGCCAGCGTATACTCGTTGTCAGGATGCCAATCCAGGCCGTGGATTTTAGAGAGATGAGCTGCCAAGTACTCTACTGCAGTGCTGGGTTTCTGCAAGAAGAGACATTTGCCTTCTCAGCACAGGACTACTGAAATTTCGTCTAGTTCTTTGCCATAAAAACAGACACTTTAACAAGGGCAAGAGAGGTAGAACACCCTCCTGCTGTGGAAAGGCAAATAGCTCAGCAAAAGTAGTTGAAGAAAAGGTCCTGTGAAGGTGTGGTAAATTCCAGCCACCAAGTGCAGCCCTGAATGATACTTTACAGTCAGTAAAACAGTTAAGTACTAAGAGATCAAAAGCAAAATGTTAACAGGCACAGTTTCTGGGGAAGGAGGCTATCTACATGGCTCATGGGCTCCCAATTCCCTCTAGTTTAAATCAACCCACAACAGAGATTTGGGATAAAGTGGTACATTTTTCTCAGTATTTATCTATATTGGGTAAGTGGTATCTTTAAGGTCCCTTCCAACCAAACCGCTCCATGATTCTATGGTGAGAATATGCACAGACTGCTCACAAAACCCTCAGCTTACTCTTTTGTCCCAGATTCGGACATCCCCATCGTGGCTTGTTGCTAAGCAGTTGGCATTTTTCTTGTTCCATTTCACCTGGGAAGCTCCAGCTGCAGCACAAACAAAGCAGGTCAAAACAAGCAATTAAAAAGTAAATGGCACAGTAGACCCTTGACCTGGGCTTAGAGCTGCTCTTCTTAGCACACGAAATGCAGTTCAGAGGAAGGATATTCCAGAAGCCAGCATGAAGGATGGCATGAAAATAGATTAACTTCTGATTCCTCAGTGTAGCGTTTGTGTCCTCAGGACCACAAAGCAAGAGCGTTCCAGTTACGTGCCTAGAGATCATCACAATTTCTAGCCATGGGTTGTACCTGATTAAAATATTCATGTCCGTTAGTTCAGATGGAGCAACTTCCTCCAGACAAGAACTGCAGGTTTATCACCTCCCTCCCAAACCCCTTCTGTTTTCATTCACGTTACTTCCAGGTGCCTAAGGATTGATTCATTTGTCTCCCCAACATCCTCTATACTAACTGATACTATACAAAGAACCAGTGTTATTGATCTACTATTAAAATCCAGGTGTAGGAGAAGGCTGCAGTGCAGGTGGACCTTGCGTCTGGCCAGCTGGAGGAAGATTCAGTGGGTGGACCAGAAGGCCCAACTGCCAAAATACATGACAGAAGTCAAAGATATCAATGGCATTGGAAAGAAACTCGATGATGGTCCAGATATAATTATATCTGATATCACAAGGGACTCAGTCAAGGGCTTACAATCAGAATAATCTAATAAAATCAAAGAAATATAATAAGAAGCAAAACACAGCTTCAGTTGATGTGGATTGTTCAGATATTGTAAGAGAAATACATGTTGTGTTCACCTTTATTCTGCCAGTATTTTCAAAACATTTTAAGCTATCAGAAAGGTGAGGTCCATGAGAAAACTAAACAGATCTCAGCCTGCTGCTATTCCCCATCTTCATTACCCACCTCCTGCTGCACAATGAGCAGATTCATCTTGACAACCTGGCAAAAGGCTAGTCCAGGGGAAAAAAAGCTGCAAATAGGGTGCCAGTTGATGGATTTGACAAACGTCCAGACAAACGTCTGGACCAGCACTAAACAGAATCGGGCATGGGAGGAAGGAAGCTTTCTAGGGAGCCAGCTGTTGGGCTGGCTCAACTGACCTGGGAAACCTCACCCCAGGCACCAGAACCAAACGCTGCTTCCCTCTGATTCAGTAAGGTTTTTGCACGCTGTGATAGAGCGGTTTGCTGGCTGGGAGGGAAGGGGGAGCCACTGCCGATGTGTAGCCTACAGAGATCTAAGCAGCAGAGCATAAGAGATACACGCTGCGAGGATTGCTGTAATACTGGGGACGGTAACTCAGGAAAAGGACATTTTGCTCATCATCTGTACTTCCCCCAGTTCCAACACGCAGCCGGCAAGGACTGACACACAGCACCTGCCAGCAGGCAGTATTACAGGCGGGTGGACAGTCAGATTGCCAACAGCCATGACAAGTGCCTTTCCAGAGCAAGCACAGCCCAAAGAAAACACTTTCGTGTCACCATCGCAGATTCCTGCCTGTTGAAGGTGCCTCAGGGAAGCAGGTACAGCTGGTTAATGTACCCAGCCCCTCAGTGAGTAAGGGAGCAGTCGGCAGCACTCAACACCACTGCCTGGGGTGTGATTTAGTTTGTCACCTGATTTAATCAAACATAAAAGGACATAGAGAAATTACAGACAGGCAACACAGGACAAGCAGTGCAGCAGGGTGGTTAAGGAGGGAAGAAGCTATGTCTAAAAGGCACAAATGCCATGTGACTGTCCACCAATTTCAGGACAGCCAGTTCAAGTACCGCCACTGCCCTCCAGGCCTGGGAACCTCCAAGGGCTCCACATCCCTCCTGAATTCTGCTCCTCTAAAAGGAGTTGCGAACCAGAGCCTCTCAGGCAGCTCCTCCACAGGACAATCGCACACCGTGGCACTTCTGTACTCTGCCATGTTCAGCCTTGAAGCGTGAAGGGAGGGAGGAATAACAGCAGGGGCATACAACAACAGGCTTGTTTAATGCCTACATCACACATATACGTCATACTTACCGACCGCAGAGAGCGAGACTGTAGGCTTCCTGGTGTCTCTGAAACACAACATAACTAATGTGAGTACCCACAGCACAGCCCAGCAGGTTCAGCCTCCCCAGTGAGCTCCCTGCTATTCCAGAACTAATTTTATTGCTGCTTCTTGGGAGCTAATGTGCCTTCTGCTTACCAAAATATACCAACATTAAATGGAATAAAGAAAGGGGTGACCAATTGGAGGACAACAGCCATCCTGTCTTGCCACCACAGAGAGCAGCAAGTTTAGGACATGGGATTGAGTTGGAGGGGACTAGAGGGAGGAGAAACACGTGCAAAGTGTGGCATGTTGCAACTGGGCAGGCAAGGGAAGTGGGCTCAAAAAGTGTTGCTGCAGGAAGCAACAAAACAGCCTTTCCCTGGAGGATTAAAAGGAACAAACAGAGCTGTGGAAAAACTTGACAAAAGCCACTGATGTGTTTGTCAAGCCTTTGCAGACCCTGATTCAAGGCAGATGGAGCAGTGACTTCAGAGCAAAGACTTCATGTCTGGCATATAACAACAAAATTAGTAGGAAATAAGTCCATCTGTGTGCAGACTCTACAGACCAAATTCTGTGGTGGCAGAAGCCAGTGTGGCATCATGACAACTCCTAGCAGCCAGGACAAGGATCAAGGCAATAATTCATTCCTTGACCTTGCTCCTCAGGAATTCACCTGCCCTTTCAGGAAAAATGCCAGTGAAAATAAGGAACACTGTCTTCAGCTTTTTGTTTGCTGAAAAGCAGAACATTTTCTGGAATAGTCTGCACCTCTCCCTCTATGAATTTCTACCTAATCAAAAAGTTATTTTGTATGAAAAATTAAAGTGGGGAATTTGCAGCTGCCCTTACCACAGGGCTACCTCTCTAGGGTGTCGTTAGAGACAGCTGCTTCAGCAGGGTATTCATTTGCTGGAGGCCAGCAGCCACAGGACCTCACTGCCCCAGCAAGCTCAGAGACCTTACTAGCACAAGTGGGATGTAGAGGCTAGTCAGAGACTGCCTAAGCAAGCACTTCTGGACGAGTGATAGACACAAACACAAAATGATGGAAAAGCACAATTGAGTTAAAGCAGGGCTTCCGATAACAACCTTCAGAGAACTCCATTTTTTGCTTGGCGCTAAGATAGTATCACAGGAAAACACAACCAGAAGTTATTGTCTCTCTATGTCTTTTAATTACACATTAATAATATATTGCCATTCTCAAGCACCATTTAACCAAGGACTTAAGTGCTTCATAGGAGCTAAACAAGCCTCAGGGTAGGCTGGTGCAGTGGGGTTATATAATTATCCTCCTGTTATAACTGAGCAAGGGAGGCAGAGAGGAACAAAGTGACTTGCCGGGGGTCATAAAGAGTTGCTGTACAGCCAGCAAGAGAACCCAGCAGTCCCAGCGTCAGCTCCTTGCTTCTCAGGTGTAAAATATGGGGGTTTCATATTGGTGGGTTTTGGATATATATTTGGAAATATCTGTTACTCTGCAATTACTCATCATAGAAAGTACCAGGAATCAAGGGAAGGCACAAATGGGAAAACGTTCCTGAATACCACTGCCAGTCTTCCTACCACTGAGAACGCGCCAGTAACAATCACTGAATTTAGTGGAAAATGGCTGCAGGATCATGAAATGGTGCTCATTCACTCAGCTAAACAAACCCAATCGGTTGAGGAACACCCTTGGGCTCCAGGAAAAGCTCCCGAGGAAAGATCTGAAGTGGGTAGGGAGCGAAGTCAGTCGATATTTTTTCAAAACAGGAGCATGACTGTGGGCTTAACTGTACCACTCTGCTGCCCTTCATTGACTCTGAACTGGCTTGAAAATAGGGAAACAGACGCTGTCTTTGAGATTACGGGAAGTAGATGAAGCCCCTGCAAGCAGAGCTAAAAAGCAGCACCCATCAGTGCGTGCTTTGCCCTGCAAGCTGCTGATTACGGAAAGGAGTCCAATGATTTCCCTGCAGTACAGAAACATACTGATTCTTACTTGATGTCCCAGATGTAGATGTATGTGTCAACAGAACTGGTGACCAGCAGGTCTGGCTCAAACACCGCCCAGTCCAAGTCACTGCAAATGCAAAATCATAGTAGGTCAGCAAAGAAAAGCACAGACAGTTTGCATCAACTTCTCACAAGCACCCCAGTACATTTCTCCAACAAATTCATGGCCGCTCCATCACATCTACTGAAACTTTTTAAGTAAAAAGCAAGATCTTAATCATTTCTCTAGGTAAATTCCAAGAAGCAATGAAATGTTTCTAATTAAATTCCAGTGAGGCATCCTCCTAGCCCTGAACTTTACAGCTATCGTGTGTGTGCTCTTTCCTCCACAGAAAAAGGGACACTGTTTCTGTGAGCTCCCAGTTACCACAAATTCTTGGCATCAACCCCTCACTCTGGGATGCCTTCCTGTTGGGCTCACCAAGTGCACCTGGGACACAAATAGCTTCCAGTCAGCCCAAACAACTGCCATTTCAAGGACTGCGAATACTTTCCAAAGCCAGAAGCTGAAGTAAAAACAGTGCTTCACCTGCATTTCCAGCCCAGCACTAAAGGGCTCTCCTAAAACCAGAGGCAGAAATCTCCCCTGTACCACCGTAACTTGCCGTGAACTTGATCTTTGGGATTACCTGCTTTAATTAATCACACAGAAACATGGCTGGGATTCAATTTAATAAACATGTTGTTACCTGCTTCCCAGATGATAGTTGCTGTTCATTACAAGGACAGCAGCCTAAGGCAACAAGACTTGAGCCATCAAAGCCTAAGCTGATGTACTGGGGGAGCCAGGAGAGACTGAGCAGCTTCACATTCGACATCGTCTCCAAATGGGATGGCAGGACAGAGCAGCAGGGAGTACAGTCCAGAAAAGTAAGTAAAAACAGGCTCAGAGCAGAGCCTGAGCAGGACCAGGACCAAAACATTCACCTTCTGCGAAACAACCCATCATTTTCCACCCAGCAGTCCGCAGCATCGCTTGCTCCTCACCTGATCACACGTGTGTGTCCTTGCAGCGATGTGCAAACTTCACCATTACCTTCCTTCCACTTATACAGGTCAACTCGCTGATTGCTCTGAAATTAGATGGAAGAAAGGAGATAGTGTCAGGCAAACAAGGTAGGACAGGAACCCATGTGTCAGGATCAGGTGCCCTTCACTTTGAACAACCTCAGTTACCAATGAGTCACACTGTGATTAGCAAAGTCCTTGCCCAAAGCTGGAGAGCAAAGATGAACCCACAGGCTGCAAGGACTCTCAAAAGCTTAGGCTTTAATTACACCCACTTAAAATTGGAGATAAACAAGAACGGGAGGAAAAAAGTCACACTGCAAAACGTTTCCGCGAAATTATGTTCTCAGAGCTTTTCTTTCCTAACAACATGCTGTAACTGCAGGCAACAGGCAGCCAAATTCTCTCTGCAGGAATACCCTACCAGTCTGTTCAGATTCACAACTGGAGTTTTCAGTGAGGGGGATGATGGACCACCACTGGTTCTCCTCAACTCTCCCTCAATTTCCTTCTGCGATAAACAGGGCCATTGCCAAACACGAACAACACATTCTAATGGCTTCAAAGTCACCTCCTCAAGGGTACTTCCATCCTTGCCAGTCCAGGAAAAAAAAAAAAAAGCAGCCTTAAGTGCTTATCACTAACTGTAAACCACAGGACCAAACCAGATAAATCAATGACAACACTATTTAGGGCTCCTTCACTCATTCCAGGAAAAAATCCTCCCCCCAAATGCAGCCACACACAAAGTTACTTGAAACTAGTTATTGCGCTTTAAGTTCATGTTCTGCCTCAATCAAGATTCACTTCAGCCCAAGCCGACTCTAATCTTTCTGGGGAAGGAACTGCCTTTTTGGGTGCATGTATAGCACCAAGCTCAGTGGTCTTGGACCATGACTGGCAAGTCATTTTGATTTTGCAGAAACAGAAATTACACGACTTCAAAATATGATCTTTGTTACCCCCATGTTTTCAGACTTACAGGTAGATGAGGGAAAAGATAACAGAGAAGAGACTTTTCTTACATTTTTGCGGTGGTGTGGCGTTTTTTTTTTCTACTCTGAAGCTGCTTCACATGAATTCGAACTTGCAGATAGATAAAACACTACAGCCTTCCCTGAAATGGAAGGTCTCCTCCCAGCTCAGCAATAATATATGGCATTTCTCTAATAACTCACAGCAGAGCTGCACAAGAGCTTGGGGCGAGGAAAACTCCTTGCATGTTTCTCATTGACAGAAGGATTTAAGAGGGTAGAGTGAAATTACCCAACAGGATTTATCCAGGACTCCAGAGTTGATGCTACAAGATAAGGATCACCAGAAGTTTCCCAGACTGTTAGTGGGGCATCTCACATGGAAAGTTTTGCCCTAGCACCAGGTGTGGGGGAATGACAGCTCCTCCCATCGGGAACATTTTCTAACAAGTGTGCTTCTCGCGATAAGTATCAGTATACACTTCCAACAATTTCATCACCCTCTTGTTCAAGCATTTGTGACCACACAAAAGCAGTAACAAAGATCTAGGATTGAAAACAATGGCATTTCTGAAACAACAGCTTAGGAGTCCTCAGAAATGTGCTTGAGCCAGAGGGCGGGCACAGCCAAGCTCAGCAAGAGGATGTTTCAGCTCTTCTGGAAAGAAGCTAAAAAAAAAAAAAGCAGCCCTTATCCAAACACAAGGACAGACTTCTCCGCCCGCACCACTTCCAATTAACAGCACTGCAAAGCGGGTGAAGCTGTTGGCAAACGGGATGGTTGTGTAAAAAACACTCCCTTTCCATCCGCAGGGATGCAGAGGGATAGGACCCTCAGGGTTGTCTACAACACTTGCGTGGTGTACCTGAACATATGACAACCTCAACAGTGAGCTGATGGGGGACTGACAGTCAGTTTGAGTCCAGAAGTAGCAAGTCACATCTTCACAGTGCTGAATCCAAGCTGATTTAGCCTTCCCAATGCATCTTTGCTCCCTTAGGTATGGCACTCAAACTCATCCACACTGCCTCCAGACCTAATCTGGGGGACACAGACCTGAGCACATGGTGTAAGTCTGCTTTCCACTTCTAAACTAGACAGGCTAAATTCCAGTCCTAGGACAGGACTGTAATGCATCAGCACCAAACCGCCAGCCAACTTTTAAGATTTCCAGAAAGGAGGTGTTTCTGACCCAAACCCAAAAAGCTACCCGATTTCATCTTCCTCACCTATGTGTGTCAGCAACTACATCTAAATCACCAGAGCATCTTAGCATCTTTGTTTATAAACGGGAGCAGCAAGGTTTGATGCCAGCTACACCTAGTTTCAGCCTGGAACAAGATGGGTTCCTAGGACAGGAGTGCTCAGATGGGTGAGACTGTCACAGCTTCCCTTTGCAGCACAGTCCTGCTCAGATCAGCATTAACTGATCACTGGATAATGCCTTCAGAGTGTGTTTAAAAAGAAGCTTTCCAGCTCTACTCACAGCCTGCACAGCACGTTTCCGTATTTGGTTTTGATTTTCACAGACTGTATATAGAAGTGGCACTGAAGGACACTTTTTTTGCAAGTTTAACTCTCCACTCAGAAGCAGACAGTTGCTGAAGGCACCTTTAAGGTGTCATCACGAGCGAGAGCTGGGAGAAGACAGGCTGGGGAACGTCAAAGAGTAAACAAGCAAAACCTCCTAACTGAAAACACCAGTCTGCTTTTAAGATCATCTTTAATTTCAATTGTAGCCAGGCCAGGAAGCAAAAGGAACAAAAACCCCAGGAAACCACCTTCAGCTAAGTGTTTTCTCAAAAAAAAAAATAGATGAAACCTCTCCACTCCCAGCAATTCCAGGACTCTTGGGCCATAAAAGCAGATGCAACACGGCAGCAAAAGCACTTCGCCATAAGAACAGGCTGCACCTGGCTGGCCGGCTGCTGCAGTGCTAGGGTTGATGGCTACGACTGACACTTGCAGAAGCCCAGGGCTCTGGGTGAACAAGCTACAGAGCATGATAGATCTAGTAAAGATCAGAGCTAAAAACTGCACTCAAATCTCACATGGCCACTACTGCTTCTTCAGACCAGACTATTTACTTCTCCACACATGGAATAAGACTCCTCGCTGACTCGGTCCCTGCCTATCTGCAAACCTAGGCTGTTAAAGCAGTGAGCCAGTATTGACTTGTGCTATTTACAGACTGCCTGGTGCACCACATCCCACCAGGAAGGCAGGGAGGTGAAACCAAAACAGCACAGAGCAAGAAATTCAGTAAGTGTACAAATCACGTAAGAGAATGGAAGCTAGAAAGAGAGCACATCCCCCCTCCCTTCCAGAAAAGGACCATTTGGATGCTCAATTTATTTGGCAAGGTGTTTCATAAAAAGACAAGCAAGCAAAACTAGATTCAACACTGACCGACCAATAACTGAGAGCCAACAAGCTAAAACATTTCACTGGCAATAAATCAGAGTTAGGCCTTGATCTCACAACGTGACTTGCAGAAGCATGCCTGTGCCAGCACCATTCAGCCTTCCAAGTCTGCGGAAGTCCACCCATGAAAGACCAGGGAAGACTATGAGTTACAGCTTTTAAATGAAAGAACTTACCGAAGCTGCAAAGTAGTACGCATAGCTGTCGTGCGGATTCCACTGCACTGCCCCAATGTCCCACTTGCTCTGTCGGGAAATCTTTCGATGACCCTCATTTGGTGCATCCAGGTTGACGATGTAGAGGAAACGGCGGCTGCAAGACACACAGACACAAAGGGGTTGTATCGCACAGGACTGATCTCAAACCCCCAATCTCAGATGGAGCTCACAGTCTAGCGCCTAGAAGACCAAAGAAGAGAAGCACTTGACAAGACAGATGAAAATAGTATTCCTGAGAATGCCACATTTGATCACATACTTCAAAAAGGGCTGCATTAAAAAAAGAAAAAAAAAAAGAAAAGACACACTGAAATTAAACAGGATCTGCAAATGTAACAGAGAGCTCAGACCACAGAAAACACCAGATAACTAGGATACAAAAGGAATTGCTGGGAAATGGTGCAAACACATCCAAATACGCTTTGCTGGCCTAATGCTGCAGCAGCAGAGCCGAGGTGGTGCACGGCTGGCAGTGCAACGCAATAGCTTCACATGAGCCAGCTTCAGTCTGGAGAGGTTGCTCTGAGCAAGAGTTAATGAGCCTTGACAAACATAAGATGATTCGAAGGTGCCTATGTCTCTCCACATCACAGTTTGGGGGGCTTAGTTCCACAGACAGTACCAGTACACCTGCACAGAGTGAGCTCAGCTGCAGCAGCTTATTAACATGGGTGGACACAGCACTCCACTGATCCGGTTATATTACTTACCTGAGCTAACCCTATATGCAGCAGGTATATATATTTGCATGATGCTAAACCTGAGCTCATCCGTTCTGCTGGATATGGCCAACTCCCCACAAAGCTAGGCAAGGTATCATTCCTTCCACAGTGTGATTCATCTTACAAGCAAGACAAACCGCCCAGAAATAATTGTGACCCAGCTGAGCTCTAATGGAAGACCAGCACCAAAACATATTGAGCCATAATTAACCACACCAGCATCACATATGTCAGCTGCGTAGCAAGCATACAGCTGCTCTGAGCACTGTGAATTTTCCCAAGAGAAGGAACATAAAGAACATCTTTGCTGCCTTCCCAGACCAAAGCCCTCAGGCCTCCCTACTCTTAAAGAGCAAAGATGCTGAGCCCTCTGAGGCTCTCACAGAGTTTTAAAAGAAAGGAGGCAAATCCATGCCGAGCATGCAGAAGTTTGAAAAGCAGAGGGCTGCAGACCCGATACTGAATTGCAGATAGGCCGTCCCCAGCTTGCTGTTGGCCCAAATAAGCAAACTGCAAAACTGGGCAAGTGTAAGGAGGAAGAGGCATCAAGTTAGACCCAAACCAGCTGCCAAGCTGGTTATTCCTGCGCAGGGCTGCTGGACGAAGGCTTTACATGGAAACGAGGAGGCCTCTGAGTTGTTTCAAAGGACCCTGTTTCTCTAAGACTGACCAAAGGTCAGCTGCACCCACACAATCCTGAATTTGAAGCAAACATCCTAATTGGGGTGGTAATTGTGTCACTGACAGGGGGACAGGAATAGCTGTTGGTACTGAAAGGTGGCAGCTGAGCAGGCTGTTTGAAGACTTGCCCTGGAGGGGGATATGTAATGCCAAGCCCTCCTGGGAGTTCTGGTAGCTTGGAGTCTATGGCACCTACCGCCCTTGTTGGGTGTCACCACACCACACCAGCAGAGAAGCAGGTCAGGGAGCTTGGCTCCTCCACCCAAGTACACCATGGGAATATTTAGGGCAAATCTTGTCTTAAGGAAATGATTTAATCTTTATCTCAAGTAGAATCCGAACAGTACTTCATTGTGCTCCACCTCCCACAAGTGGATTTGGTGACACATGTATCAGGAAAGCCACGACAACATTTTATCGTGCTGTGTTGCTGGCTTTTCACTCTGTATCCCATCAGAAATGTGAGCCAGAATCCTTTTCATCCTTGAACAAAATTCAGCTGCACCTTTCTGAAACAATACCTCAGCCCTTCAATTGAGGTCAGCCTGAAGGTTGCTGATTTGGCTTGTGGAAATGACTGTCACACATTTCTAATGGGGACTGTCACACTCACCCCGACAGTACTGCACGCTGTCCTAGGCAATCCACTGACATCGCAGTCGCCTGTTAAAGAGAAACAGAGAACAAAATTAAATTATACCTGTCAGGCTTCTCAGTCAAACACACAGCTTTGGCGAGGAGTTCAGGAAAACCTGCCAGCTCATCTTTAAGGTATAAACTGCTATGGTAAGAGTCAAGGCTGAGATCTGTCAGGGATGGCAGAAGTAACATCCCCTTAAAGAAGCACAGATGGGTGACAGGGCATAGCGGTTGATTTTGGGATGCAGGGTAGCACACAGAATACATCTTTGTTAGAGTAAAGTGAAGACAAGACCTGGCAGACACCATTACAAGCCCTGAGACCTTGCTCCCTTCTCCCCACTATGGCAATCACAGCTGCAGCCTTTCAATCAGCAATCTCTAATAATCCGTATTAATCAGCCTCTGCTCCTGCTTGGGAGCTTTCTCAGTCTCTCTCTCTCCCATTGCAGGGCCAGATTTAATTATATGCGTATTGGGAGATAGAAGTGCAACCATTTGTACATGGCTGGTCTCCAAAAATGAGAGATGGCTAAGAGGCATCAGAATTTACTCTCACATCCCTGTAAAGAAGTCCAAGAGATAACTTAAATGCCGTAAGAATTAATAAAAAAAAACCCACACAACTGTTTGAATATTGTCTCCCCCTCTTTTCATTCAGAACGGAATTGGCCAATCACCCTGTTTAATTGCCAAGAGAATAAAGGAAAACTTTACTTGGAAAGCTGAACAGTTCAGCCCATAAACACAGATAGGACTTCAATGCAGTTCTTAGCGTTCACAGTACAAAACCAGAATATGCCCCATAGTCTTCTAACTGCCTGCTGTCAAAGCTACCTCTCTGAAGGCTCAGGATGTCTCTGTTGCTGTTCAGGATTCTGCTAAGTACTCTCACTGTGGATGTAACAAGACTTCAGGATGTCCCACAGCTACTACTTATAAGCATCACTAAAACCAGACAGACAATATGACAATCTCACTTCATTTCAATCAGGTTTGACAGAATAACCATCACAGAAACCTGTTTTTTTCAAGCAGGGCCCCATCCCCTACTTGCAAGTACCCCAACTAAGGGAAAAACAGCATCATAGGCTCATTCTTCACTAAAGACCAAGAGTCCACAAAGCAAAGAGCTACAAAAGCCTGC